GGACAATCAATCTGCCCCGATGTCTCCACCCATTCCTGTCAAAGACATGGAAGCTCAGATCCCGCACATAGTTAAACTATGAAAAATGAATACCCTATAAGAGATAAAGCAGCTTACCGCACTGGCTTGGATCTTCGCGCTGAATCCGCGATCCTCGGTAGGGGGAGGGGGAACCTCAGCGCCCTTAAATAGCACCTTCCAACCATCCTTTTGTGTTGTGTCGAAGAGCTCGCTCAGAGTTTGGTGCTGGGCCGGGTCGAACTCCCACAAGTTGAACGCGTGTTGTTGACACGGGAGGATCCGGCGGATGAGCATGACCTGGACTATGTTGACAAGCTTGAGCTTCTTGTTCACCATATTTTGGATACAGGTTTGGAGTCCGGTCAGCTCTCCCGGACTACCCCAGGGCAGGCCCTTCTCTTTCCAGGAGGTGAGCCGCGTGGGGATTCCGAATCGGAACTCGGGGGCCGCTGCCAATTTGGGGTCACGCGGCTCGGTGATGTAGAACCACCCCGATTGCCACCCCTTTATGGTGTCCACGTAGGAGCCCTCGAGCCATGTGACATTGGGCATCTTGCCCACCATGGCGCCTCCACACTCCGCCTGCTGACCCCCCACCACCTTCGGTTTAACATTGAAGGTCTTCAGCCATAGGCCAAGTGGGGCTTGATGCGGAGGAAGGTCTCACACACGACGATAAACGCCAAGATGTTGAGGATGAAGTTCGGGGCCAGATCATGGAAATCCATGCCGTAGTAGAACATGAGTCCCCGGACGAATGAGTGGAGAGGGAATCCTAGTCTGCGGAGGAAATGGGTAAGGAACACTACCCTCTCGTGGGGCCTGGGGGTGGGGATGAGCTGCCCCGCATCTGGGAGCCGGTGTGCGATATCGTCGGGCAGGTATCCGGCTCCCCTCAGCTTCTTGATGTGTCCCTCCATGGCGGAGGAAACCATCCACTTGCCTCCCGCTCCGGACATGGTTGGAGAAGGTTGAGGAGGAAAATGTGGACTTGGGCGCTGGAGCTCGAGTGTGCGAGAATGGATGAGCAAAGGAGGAACAAGGCATGGATGGAAAAAGGTGAACCCTTATCCCTTTATATGGGCGGACGAAACTGTGCGTCCTCACCGGCCTGGTAAAACTCGCTTATCCCCCAAGCACTGTAATTGATGGTGCGGTTGGGTTACCCACGTCCGTATTGATGAGAATCCCGCAATAAGGGGACACGATCTCTGCTTCGACAAGACGTGCCAAGGAAACCGCCTCGCAAAACGCGTTGAGGTTGGCTGTAAAAAACGATTCGCATAAGGGCTTGGCTGTGGTGTGATGTCACATTACGGGATACGTCAGCAGATTAGATTTATGGAAATATTATTCTCTCTACGGTAGTATGCGGAACTTGTTTTGCAGAGTCGGACACGATCCTCGTATTCAAAACCTTCTAAGAAGTATTTGGAGGAGGAACCCGCCTTGCAATGCCGAAGATAATCTGCGTGCCGGACTCATCGTCATTGAAGCCTGGTTCAGGGGCTACTGAGGGAGTCCTGGATTAGGGGGTATCCGGATGGCCGGACTGTTGGACTATGAAGATACAAGATTGAAGACTTCGTCCCTTGTCCGGATGGGACTCTCCTTGGTGTGGAGGGCAAGCTTGGCAATTCGGATATGTAGATCTCCTTCCTTGTAACCGACTCTGTGTAACCCTAGCCGCCTCCGGTGTCTATATAAACCAGAGGGTTTAGTCTGTAGGACAACAACAATCATACCATAGGCTAGCTTCTAGGGTTTAGCCTCTCTGATCTCGTGGTAGATCAACTCTTGTACTACCCATATCATCAATATTAATCAAGCAGGAGTAGGGTTTTACCTCCATCGAGAGGGCCCGAACCTGGGTAAAAACATCGTGTCCCTTGTCTCCTATTACCATCCGCCTAGACGCACAGTTCGGGACCCCCTACCCGAGATCCGCCGGTTTTGACACCGACACTCTCCGTCAGATGCTCGAAGGTACCGCTAGTGATACGCCCCATCCCAGTGGGTAATCCGAGGTACCTCTCATTGAATGCTTCAACTGTTATACCAAGGAGATTCTTCAAATTTTTTCTAACTGGCTCCGGCGTTTTCGGGCTGAAATAGATGGAGCTTTTCTCTCTGTTCACACACTGTCCTGAACTGTCGTTGTATATCCTCAGAACTTGGTTCAACCTTTGGGCGCTTGATTCCTTGGCATTCATGAATATCAAGCTATCATCTGCAAAGAGGGGATGATTTACCCAAGGTGAATTGGTACTCACTCTAATCCCCTTGTCCACCTGTGCACCACCCAGATTTTTCAAGAGTGTAGTGAAACCCTCAACACATAGGAGGAAGAGATAAGGCGAATAAGGGTCCCCTTGACGTAGACCCCGAGAAGGGGTAAAGTAGGGCAGCAACTCCCCATTCACTCGAACGGTAAACCTGACAGAAGTCACGCACTTCATTGTCAGTCTAACAAATCTCGAACTGAACCCCATCTTTAACATGATAGCTTCCAAATAGTGACATTCAACTCTGTCGTACGCTTTCATCATGTCAAGTTTGACGGCACGGACATGATTTTTCCCTTTCTTCCGACGCCGCATCGCATGGATGCTCTCATAGGCGATAAGGACATTGTCAGTGATAAGGCGCCCCGGGATAAAAGCACTCTATTCTTCGCTAATGATCTCATCCATAAACTCTCTTGCCCTGTTTGTGATACACTTGGAAGCAATCTTATATAAAACATGACATAAAGAAATTGGCCTATATTGTGATATGAGTTGCGGGTATCTTACTTTAGGTATAAGAGTTATTGAAGTATCATTCATTCCCACCGGCAACTCATCACCATTTAGGAAATCCAAAACAGCCAGCACAATGTCCTCTTGAAGGAGATCCCCATGCCACTGAAAAAACCCCGCTGTAAAACCATCAACACCCAGAGCTTTGGATGGGGCCATTTGAAATAAAGCTTCCTTGACCTCCTAGGCTGTGAATGGTTTATCTAGATGCTCGTTCGTAAGAGGAGTCACCTTTTGTGGGATAAGATTGAGCAGCTCGTCCATAGGCCTGAATCCCTGGGAAGTATATAACGCTTCATATAAACCTTGGACTTCTGCATGATTCTCATCCATAGTCTGACATGTTGAGCCATCTGCTCTTGTTAGCAACTCAATTTTATTTATAAGTTTCCGTTGAACTGCCTGGGCATGAAAATATTCTGTATTCCGGTCACCCGATGCAGCCAAAATCCACCTAGATTGCGATGCTCTACCTAATGTGACTTACACACCTAGACGGAGGGAGTACTAGTCTACGTTACCACCATCATAGTGGGTAGTAACATAAGTGTAGTGTCATGCAAGCCTTCATTTATTATATTACAGACTCATTTTGTATTGGGGTGTGTTATGTTATGTTACTACCACAAACACCTCTCTCCTCATTAAATCCATGCCACATAATCATATATGTCTTGGGGTGCGTTACGTTACTACCTAAGTTACTCCCACTATGGCTAGTCTAAACTGGAAAGAAGGTACTCCCTCCGTCTAGGTGTGTAAGTCATCTTAGCTTGCGCACCGCGACCAAGGTGGAGGGGAAAACGATAGAACTTAATTTTTTTTTGCTAATTAATAATATTGCATGCAATGAACTAACCGCTGTATGTCGTGTTTGATAGTCTCAAGCCATTTAAAGCATGCATGGCTCACATCTCTTATTGGTTGATATGTCACGAAACAAGAAACGAAATGAGAGTTAATGTACCGCGCCTATGTGTTTTGGGATTATTTGGTTTTCGTAAGATGACTTACACACCTAGGCGGAGGGAGTAGTATAAAGTAATTCATAGTACATGGAAGTGTGCAAAGGCAAAAGCATATGCAAATATCCACAAGATATCTTTGATTCATAATAAATGTAGAAATATCCTCTTCTACATGGTGGTGTGGAAGGGATATGCAAATCTCAACAAGGTATTTTGGATTTATATTAAATGCAACCAATTTACTAGGAGTATATACAACTCCCAACTAGTAGAGATTTTCAGTTCATAGTAAATGCAGCCAAACCCTCCTCTACATGGAAGTGCGTGTGATACACAAATCCCAACCGAGGATTTTTGGTTCATAGTAAATGCAGCCAAACCCTCCTCTACATGCAAGTGCGAGGGACATGCAAATCCCAACAAAGGATTTTTAGTTCATAATAAGGCTGGTCGTAATGGTAGTATCATAGCTAGTATCATGCATGCCAACTAGACAATTTTGATGAGGTGTCATAGCATTAAATGAAGAAAAAGAGGATGGAGTATCATATCATGATACTGTATCATAATAAATGATATGCTACTTTGTGTTATGCATGGCAATAAATAGAGTGCTACATGATACTAATATATGATACTATGCATTAGGGAGGTAGTATCATACACTAGTATCATATGCATGATACTAATATATGATACTCCCCATTATAACCAGCCTAAATGTAGCCAAACCCTCCTCTACATGGAAGTGTGCAAGGGATATGTAAATCCCAACGGAAGATTTTTGGTTCATAATAAATGCTGCCAAACTCTCCTCCAATAGTTCAATTCATCATCTATAAGACTAGTCACAATGGAAGTAACTTAAGTAGTAACATCACATATTTCAATAGAAGATTGCTTATGTGGCAGCTAATTAAAGAGGAGAGAGAGGTTTGTGGTAACTTAGCTAGTTACTGTAACATCACACATTTCAAGGCATAATGAGTCTATAGCCTAATAAATGAACTCTTTCATGATATCACTCATATGTTACTACCCACTATGGAGGTAGTAACATAGACTAGTAACATCGACAAGTTACTACTCTATGTTACTCCCCAATGTGAGCAGTCTAAAAGGGTACTACTCGTACTCATTGTTGCATGCACAGACCAACACAAGTTAATTAGCCAGTCGGTGTGTTCGCATTTCTACAACATATACATCCATGGAGCTCACCGCTCACGCTCTCCTCCTCCCTCTGGTGCTTGCGGCGCTCCTCCACCCCACCACCGCCACTATTGACGATGCCACACTAGGCCTCAGCGGCGGATTCAGCCTGCGCTTGGTTCCCAGCCCCAGCTGGAACAATACCATCCATGTCGACGACGACGGCTTCCTTCACCTGAAGGAGCTAGTTGGGCACGACACTACCGCGCTTCGACCGCATGTACGCTTTCTCCCAGGGAGGTACAACGTTGTCACCACTGTTGGGACGGGCCATGGCCGCCGCACGTACACCCTCGCGATGGAGATGACAAGCAGCCTGACATGGATGCAGTGCTTGCTGATCCAATGCCCATTTCAGCAGGATCCGCCGCCCTTCCACCCGCGAATGTCGCCGTCATTCCGCCACCTCGCACCCACAAGCCGCCTTTGTTCACCCCCGGGGCACGACGTGTGCAAGTTCCATGTCACCCCCATCCGCCCTGGTGGCGCACATGCAAGCGGCGTGCTCGGTGACGAGACCCTATCCTTCACGGGATCTGCACCGGTGGTCTTTCCCACCGTCATCATTGGCTGCGCGCACAGCAGCACAGGTTTCGTCAGCCACGGAGTGCTCGCCGGCGTCCTCGGCCTGGGCAAGACGTATCCGTCGCTCGTCCCGGTGTTACTCCAACGGCACGGCTTACATCGCTTCTCCTACTGCCTCTTCGTGCCCGGGTCCGCGAACCGGCACGGCTTCCTCCGGTTCGGCAATGACATCCCGGTGGACACGAGGCGCATGAAGAGCACCAGGATCCTCTACCCCGAGCATAGCTCCTACTTTGTCAGCCTCGGTGGCATCAGCGTAGCCGGGACGCAGCTGGGCGGCAACCTGGCGGAGGTGTTCAGGCGCCGACAGACCGCCGATGGCAAGTGGCACAGCGGGACCGTGATCGACGTCGGGACGTCTCGGAGTGTGATAATCCAGGCTGCATACAATGTCCTGGAGCAGACCCTGGCGGAGCACGGCAGGAGGCTCGGTTTGCCGGTGCACCACACCAGCTCCGGCCTCTGCTTCCGCGCGGCGCACTCCCACTTCTCGCAGTTGCCCACGGTGACACTGCATTTTGAGCAGGACCTCGTGCTCACACCGATTCAGTTGTTTGTAGTGCGCGAGCAAGACATTTGCCTCGCCGTGTCACCGAGCCCGGACATCACCATCATCGGGGCATTGCAGCAACGGCGCACGCGCTTTGTGTACGACCTTGCCGCCAGCAGGGTCTACTTCACCCCCGAGAACTGCAATGACGGCTGGGGGTGTGGTGTTCAGGGGTTGTAAAAGTTCATAAAACAAATAGGAATCGAACTAGGGTCCTCTTGCTCGTGTGGTTAAGAGGCATACCACTTGTGCTGTACAGTGTTTGTGAAAAGTAAAAAGCGTACGGATTTAAGAATTACTCCGTCCGGATTTATTGGGTAGACAGGATTGCCAAGACCAAGGCACATCAGGGGCAGTTTTTGGTATTGAATCTGCCCGATTAGAGAGCACGATTGAAGGATATTACTTCCTCCTTTCCGGTTTATAAGGCTCAATTTAAAAATCTCACCAACCAAGGTAGATGGTGAGTGGTGGAATACTTTTTGTAGTTTGCAAAAGCACCCAGTTAATGCTCTTGTTTTCCTCAAAAAACTATGTTTACTAATGCATTAATTTTCTCTTAATACTTGCATGCAATGATTTAATGCACTTTGGAATCTGAACATGTGATGGGAAACAACCAAATTGAGCCTTATAAAATGGAAAAACTAAAATTTTGAGATAAACCCTATAAACAGGAAAGGAGGAAGTAAATATCATAAATTAGTTGCCAAATTGCCTCGCATCTCCCAATGCTCTCGCATGTTGTTTTTTTTTTTTACCATGCGCATATATATGGGCTGCATGGCCCATGGCCCAATCGTAGCGCAACTTTCGCTTAACAATTTGCAATGACTAAAAAATTGCCTGTTAATTCAGGCCTAGGGAATAGCAACCTGCCTTACAAAAATTGACTTCCACCGGTGGCTTTCCAGCCTAAAAATCCCGTACAGAGGTAACACCAACGTAGAATTCAGACACCTTTTCAAAAAAATTAACATTTCTACGAAATTCTTAAAAAAATAATAAAAATAAAAAAAATAAAAAATTTAAATTTTTAAAATAATTGAACAACTTAAATACATTTTGAAAAATACACTTTTTAAAAAAGCATGAACATTTTCCGAAAATTTTGAACAGAATTTTTTAAAAGCATGAACATTCAAATTTTTTAAAGAGATATCTTAGTTCAAAATGTTAAGAACATTTTTTTCAAACAACATTTTTAACAATTTTTAAGAGAGATATGAAGCATGCAAATTTTAAAGAACCAAAAATTTGAACAACTTTCTGAACACGAGGGCTTTCTTTTTGGCCTCTTATGTGGCAAATGTAGCCTTTTGAATTTTCACGCCGATTTTTTAGTGTTTTTAAAACAGATTTTTTTCTGTTATATTCTGATTTTTTGCTTCTTTTTTATTATTAATTTTCCTCTTTTTTCAAATGCGTGAACTTTTCATAAATTTGAAAATGGTTGCATTTCCAAAAAGTTCATGTTGATCGATAATGCCAAATATCATAAATAACAGAAGCACCCATTTTTTGACAATTTTCAAAAAATGTCTAGCACATAAAAAATATTCATGTTGATTTATAGTGACAGAAATTGCAAATAATATAAGCATTAAAATTAGAAAAAACTATATGCTCATGAATGCATTCGTGTGGCTAGTGTGGCCCACTCCTCTGAACTGGTGGTTTTTTGGTCTATGGATAAATGACCCTAACTTCTTGCAGCTGCACGGACATATGATGTATCAATGCTAGTTTGAACGACTTGCGACATTGTTTGCACGTTGCGATATGTCCGGCCGTTTAGCGATCCTTTTTCATCGAGAAAGCTCCAGAAAATGTAAAGTTGTCAAAAATCTGAACAACTTGGCATGATGTCTCGAATTGGTCATAGAAGCTGGCGGAAAAAAATTTGAGGCCATTTGACGGATGTCAAAGAACAACATGCTTTCAAACGGACCCTTCAGGCCTATCTGAACACCCTCCGTTGAACATGGTCTATTTTAAGACATCCTTGAAATGATCATAACTTTTGCAAGTAGGTGTGCATGCCCATGGTAGGCATCCTTGCCTGTTTTAAACGACTTTCAACACTGTATGCAAGTTGTGACATGTCCGGCAATTTATCGGTCTTTTTTAACCAAGAAAATTCCAGAAAGTGCAAAATTTGTCGAAAACGAAATCAACTTGGCGTAGTGCCTTGAATTGATCATACAAGCACATGAAAAAAAAATCGGGGCATTTCAAGGATATAGAGAAACAACATGCTCCCAAACAGAGCTGTCTAGCTTACCTGTACACCCTCCGTTGAACATGGCCTATTTTTGGACATTTTTGAAATGACCCCAATTTTTGCCAGCAGACGGGCACGCCCATGTTAGGCATCCATGCCAGGTTTAAACGACGTTTGACAATATATGCATGTTGCGGCACATCTGGTCATTTATCAACTATTTTTTCATCGAGAAAACTACAGAAAATGCAAGAATTGTCGAAAGGTTGAACAACTTGGAATGGTGCTTTTAATTGGTCACATGAGCTAGTGGGAAAAGTTTCGAGGTCATTTGAGGATGCCCACAAAAACATGCTCTCATACGGATCCTACTGGCACCCGAACACCCTGGAACCCTACGCTAATGATGGTCTATTTTTGGACATAAATGAAATGAACCCAACTTTTTCCATCTGACGTGCATGCCCATGGTAGACATCCATGTCAGGTTTGAACATTTTTCAACATTGTATGCAAGTTGTGTCACTGTTGACCATTTATCAGCCATTTTCATCAAGAAAACTCTAGAAAATGCAAGAATTGTTGAAAACTCGAACAACTTAGCATGGTGCCTTAATTGATCATATAAGCTCATGGTAGGCACCCATTTGAAGTTTAAACGATTTTTGACATCGTACGTAAGTTGCGTCACATCCGGCCATTTATCAGCCTTTTTCACCGAGAGACTCTAGAAAATGCAGGATTTATTGAAAACTCAAACAACATGGCATGATGCCTTAAATTTGTCATATAAACTCATGGAAAAAATTGGGGTCATTCGACGGATGAAAAAAAAGACGCCCTTCTAGCCTACTCGAATACCCTGTGTCGAACATGGTCTATTTTTAGACAAGCATAAAATGATCACAACTTTTGCCAGCTGATGGGTATGCCCATGGTAGACAATCATCATAGGTTTGAAGGAAAAAAATATATAAAATCATATTTGAAGCAGGTCCTTAAAACTATTATTTTAAGTTTTTAAAATAAGTAATAAATACACATGGATAAAATTAAAAATAACAAAGATTTTTTTAAAGGATTTAATAATTATGTCATGGGAAGAATTTAAAACATTTGTCTAAAACTGTTATTTTGGTATTTCAAACAATATTTCAATTTTTTGTAACTGATTTCAAAAAGAATAATAAAGTTCAAAAAGGAGAAAAAATAACCAATGAAAAAGAAAAGACAAACAAATAATCAGAAAAAAATGTTTAGGCCTTGGCTCAACTATTGCTCCGCCAGGTGCATGTTGGGAATTTCTAAAACCGTTTGCATTTTTGGAAATTGTTCACGTTTTGGTAAAATGTTTTGACATATTAAAAATTGTTCATGTCATATTTTTTTTCAAATTTTAGAAAATGTTAATGTTTTCAAATTTTGTACATAATATAAAAAAGGTTCAGGAATGTAAAAAATGTTCACACTTTTCAAAAAGTAAGTTACAAAAGTTCTTATTTTCATTTCTTTTTCACAAATTAATAATAGTAATAATTTCCAAAAATGTTCCTCCTTTCAAAAATTCTTCACAGATCTATTGTTTTTACCTTTCCAAATTCTGACTGGATTTTCAAGAAATGTTTATTTTTCGTAAAAAAAAATCATGTTTTCAACTTTTTCGTGTTTTTCAAATAATGTTTGTAATTTTGATATTTTTTGCATTTTTATAAATTGTCAGGATTGCAAAATTTGTTCACACTTATTAAAAAAACAGGATTCCTGATTTGTTTTCACTTTCTCAAAAAATGTTTTGGAATTTCAACAAATGTTTGGAGTTTCATGAATAATTTACCTTTTCCCAAAATATTTCGCATTTCCCAAATGTTCACATTAGAATAGTTTCAGTTTTTCCAGAAATGTTTTTATATATAAACGCCGTTGTTTGTTCTTATACAGTCCGCGCTATACAAATTAACAAGTAGGCGGTTGGTCAAGTGGTAAGCAGCAGGTACAAAGAGTGTGAGGGTCCCTAGATCGAGTCCTGGTAGAAACTTGCTTTGCAGTATTTTGTATTGTTTTCTACATAAATACTGGACGTGACTTGGGCCGGCCCAGCCGCTCGCCAGTGAGGCTAATTAGAGCCTCGTACCGTGATGACCCATTATACGTATGAAAGTGAATACGGCTGTGAAAGGTCAATACTGCTCTTTGTATGTTTTGTGAGGGGGGTGTGCCGAAGCGGAACTTGTAAATCTTTGCAAGTAGGCTGAAACTCATTTTAAACAACTCCGCTGCCCTGCGGAGTACCGTGAGCCAATCATATGGCGCCATCGCATAGAGTATCATTCCTGGACACCGTATTCGATTCATTCATCTTGTTACTTCGGCATTGGTATATCATCACTCGCCCTACCACCACAACCTAGTGTTTTGGAGTACATCTAGTGATTTTTATTTTTTCTGAAAAAGGTGAAATGTTTGAAAAATAATTTCACAAAAGTTACGAACTCGCCGCCAGAGTCTACTCCGCCCGCGAGAACTGCAATGACGACACCGGCGAGCATGATTGATCTCCTGTTTTTTTAGCGAAAAACCCTATTTGACGTGGTTAATTGTCTGTTCGTGAAATAAAAGGAAAAATAAACTATATTGAAAGTGCACATACAAACAAAATAGATCGATCTCTACAAACAAAATAATACCTTCATAAGTAGGCTAAAATAATTTTACACAACTTCTCTACCTTGCGGAGGCCCGTGAGCCAATCATATGGCCCCAGCGCATAGAGTATACCAGGACATCCTATTTGATTCATCACTCGCCCCACCACCATGATCTAGTGTTTTGGAATACATCTGGTGGTTCATATGAACCAAGCGGTGTCTATTCCTCCGCCCCCGCCCCCGCGTCGCCCTCCTTTGGTGGCACCGGGGTAACCCTAGCCGCGCCGCCAGACCTCCTATCCCCGTCCTCCATCGCTGCGCCGTCACCGGAGGGGGTGCTGGCAAAGCCGCGCTTGCCCTAGGAAGGTGGCGGCGGGGCGAATTTTCTCGTTCCTTTCTCCTCTATCCCGCTGTAGATATCGCGGAGATGATGGACCTGTCATTACTGCAGAATGCTGCTAACGCGACACTACAATCAGAGACTCTTAGACGAAACTGTGTGCGATGCATTAATCGCAAACGCTGATGTAAAAAAACTGTCAAAAAGATGCAAAATGTTTGCGATGTCGGATACATCAAACACGGTTCAGATTTTAGTTGCGTGTGCGAAGGCATATGGTTGAGTTCAGTGAACTATTTGCGATGAGGCAGAACAACAGAAATGGGCAGCCAGATGAATGCGTGTGCGATATACGGAATACAGTTCACTCGGATAAACTGTTTGTGATGAGGCGAAACAATAAGAATGGGCAACCAGATGAAGGTGTGTGTGATATATGGCATACAGTTCACTCGGATGAACTGTTACTGATTAGGCAACACAAAAGAAACGGTCAGCCAGATCAAGGTGTGTGCGATATACAACATACACTTCACACGGATAAACTGTTTTTGATTAGCCACAACAAACATAAATAGTTAGACAGATCAACGTGTGTGCGCTAGACGGGCACACATTCTAACTAAAAGAAGCGTGTGCGATGGTAAAAACGAGCACGCACAGTTGATGGAATAAGACGTGTGCTGACATCGCCTATTGTGGTGCACCGTATGGTGCAAATGCCACGTACGCGGCCGAGAACGCGTGCCCACTTTACGCCTTCCGGTAATCGTACCGCACTTCGAAATATGAACGGCAATAAATTTTGAACTTGCTTCCCTTCACATTCACAATTACTGTTCACGCCGATCAAAACTTGTTTACACCGATCAAAACCTAAACGGTTTTCCACTTAGCAGCGTATTAGTACTCGGTTATAAATACTACTTACTTCAAAATGACTGCACATTTCTCCTCTCAACTACTCATCCACAAAAACAAAAAGTCTTTCATCGTCGTTCCCTTGCATCTGCCATGGCCCGCATGAGTTCTGGGTCGAGATTACTACCAGGAAGAGGCGAGCATGGAAGCGGAAGCACAAGAGATGTCCCGCCTCGCTATGAAATCAGCCGCCATGTCCCACCGCACGATCGTAGCAGCATAGATGTCCCGCCGTGCCGCCGAAGCAGCACAGAGGTCCTGCCATGCCGTCGATGTAGTAGGCTGATCTGGCCGCACCGCGGAAGCAGCAGAGATGTCCCGCTGCGCCACGAATACAGCAGAGATGTCCTCCCGCGCCGCGGCGGCCTGGGAAAATGTCTCATGGGCAGGCGAGGACTCTCACAGGCGCATGCGCGCTATGCTCAATGACCTGATGGGTCAGATCTCCGACTGGATGAAACTGCATGACGAGATGAATGCCTCGTTCGAAAATGCTACCAACGTCATCCGGGGACTAGGGGACGACAAGGCGAAGCTCCGCACCGAGCGCGACCTACTGAGGGCGAAGATCGCCGAAACGACGAAGCAGCACAAGGAGACCACTGCCTTGTTAAAGAGGACCGGCGTCATCGTCAAGAAACTTATGGACGAGAACGCCATGTTCCGCATCGAGCGCCAAAGGCTGGTGAAGGAATCTTTGGATGCTCTGAAGTAACGTTTTGAGAACACGAAAGAGCTCACCGCTGCTCGCCGCGATAACTACTAGTCTCCGTGGCCTGCAACAACGCATCAAGAAAGTAGAGATCAATGAGCCAGATTGTTGTCTGTGTCTTCTTTCTTCTTTTGCCCTTGTGTATTTCGGGCGTTGCCGCATGTGTCTTTTTTTAATTATCTTCCTAAATATGTAAGACAATTATTATCCACTGTCATCGTCCTTTTATTCACCAGTCTTGCTATAAGTCGCAGTCGATGCTATATAGGTCCGTCGGATCTTACATCAAGATCCGTGCAATTTTTTCTTCTTCAGATTTTCTCTTTTCTCTCTTAAATCTCAGTCGAGTGAGATATAGCCACACCATTAAATAGGGGGTCAAGCGCCATTAATGGAGACATTGGGAGAGAGGTGGGCGGCGGATAGAGGTCAAAGGGCTCTCCTCCTGATGAGTACGCGCAGGGGTCTGATCGCACGCCTCCCGTACTCAAATAGCTACACTGCACGACACCTCCTAGCCAATAAAAAAGGGAACGCGTGGCGGCACATAAATGATAAGTACAACGCCCACGGTTTCAATAATATTTGTGTTTCCGATTGTATGTGACAACAATTGTTCCAAAATGATTTTTTTGATTGTTAACGTGTGCGCCTTCACAAAGCAAACAAAAAATTTACCACAACATGTTGGTGCCATGACATGACACCATGTCAAGTTTCATGATTTACAGGTGAGTTTTGGATTTATGATAATTTTAAAACCAAATTTCTTGATGTTTCCGGCCAAGTCAAGACTCCCAGATGTTTGAATTCCAATTCCATTTCTTGCATGGGACCTAAAAATTTGCCCAAATACACATAAATGATTTTTCAACTAACTTTGGCGCACTGGAGCATTTGCTTGTAGTTCAAATTTGAATTGTGTGCGTTAAATGCCTGGAAATACGATTGATGTATAAAAAAGGCCAAACGAACTCAGAATAATTCCAAAATTTAGCACGAAAATCCTATTGGTCTAAGTTGCTTATGTAAAAAAATCAAGGCAGGAGAAGGCAGTGTATGTCGTTTCGCACACGGAGGTGACACATTACCCCTCGGAACCACGAGCCTTCTTGAGAGAAGCTCCGGTTTACCAGAAGCTTATACCAAAGCTTGTCCCAATTCGGATAAAAAATTTATCACCACATGTTGGTGCCATGTCATGACACCATGCCAAGTTTCATGATTTTCATGTGTGTTTTGGATTTACAGAAATTAAAAAAGCAAGTTTCTCAATATTTTCGGTCAAGCCACGACGCCTAGATATTTGAATTTCATTTCCATTTTTTGGATGGGACCTAGAAATTCACCCAAGGACACACATGTGATTTTTCAACCAACTTTGGTGCACTGAAGCATGTGCTTGTAGTTCAAGTTTGAATTATGCACATAAAATGCCCAGAAACTCAATTAATATATAAAAAAGGCCAAACGAACCCAGAATAATTTCAAATTTTAACACGAC